TCATGGGCCACCACATTCAGAAGATGATTAAGATACACATCAGACCTATGAAGAACAGAAGAGGAAGTAGAGGAATGGAAAAAACAGTAACCTTTCCACGGTACTCTGAGTCAGGCTGCTGCCTCAGAGCAGAACTCCTTACACAGGCTCACTTTAAGAACTGAGCAGAAGCAATCCCTTTCCAATATTTACAGTCTCACTTGAATTTAGCAAAATGTTATAAATCTCACCAAAAAGCTATTCCGATGATCTTCTAAACTGTCTTCCAAATAGCTTTTCAAAAAGAGACTTATAACTTTAATTAAAATAATGTATGTAAATTCCAAGACTTTTATTATGCCAAAATAATGTACACCTACACGGTGGGATATCTGACCAGAAAATGGCAAATACTGATCCCAGAAATTTATTAACATTCACTTGGTTAAACACAAATGCAACTGCCTCAACAGCAAACTGGAGCTGATGTAGTTCTTAAAAAGCATTGCTAGTTGTTTTTTGAAGTGTGTCTAGCTATATAGGGAATATTTTAATGCCTTTTTATTTAAATGGGCAGCTAGCAAAATACAGCTTGACCTGTTTATGTGCAAACACATACTGTTTTGAGAAATGTAGCTAGCTGAAAGGGTTAAGGAGAAACTTAGATGTAACTATTATAATAGTACCAGGGCTTTAGTGCATTTATAACGTCCTGTAAAGCAGAGGCCCAATGTCAGCAAGCCCAAAGCAATACCAAACAAATACTCCCCCAAAAGTCAGTACTGGCAGCATTACTAAACTCCACAGGAAATTACATCTTCAAAGCCCATATACCTATGTATGTATTAGGGACGGAACAGATTAAACAGTAAGTAAGCTGGATGTAGAACATGTAAAGCCTTTATACAGGCTGGAATTCTGCACTGTGCTTTGCCTGCCTTCTCCAGGCTAACCTCAGAAAATCAAATACACTACATAGCTATACAGCTCAGCTTCTGTTCCATTAGGAAAGAGTAAAATAACCTCATAGTTTTGATTTCTAGTTGTTTTTATGGATTACCACTTGGTACTTTGTCTTTCTCTGTGATGCAGTTTCCTAAGACTTGCAATTCCTCTTTAAAAAAATAAGACTTTCAAACGCTTGCAATGAACAGTTCTGGACAGCTTACTTGCCTATGTTGCTTGCTGAACTTTGTAATGATAACGTAGTTCTTTCATTCACAAAATGAAATTACAGATAAAATACACACTTTCCTCAGACATGTATGGAAGAATAAAAAAAGTAAATCTTCCTTGAACATGGTATAAGACCTCACCTGAAAATCTGAGTATGAGACAGAGACAAGAAAAGGAGATAATCCTGCTCTATTTACAAATGTCATGGCAATGGTCTTAAATTTTATAGTGGGCTTGCTCCAAAACTTAATTCACAAAAACTTTAAATAAAATGTTGCTACCTCATCTTCAACGACCTTCTCTCTACACTTATCCCTTCTGAAACAGTCAGTGGGACTTCCAGACATCACCACTACCATTTTCCTTGCTACAACTAATACAATTACTATGAAAATCAAGAACACCTGAAAGTAGCACTTCAATCTAGTCAGCTCAAAACATATGGCCAAAAGTACTGGATTCCTTTATTTCTCTTTCCTCTTCTCAGAATTCCTCCCCTCTTTCCACTCCTGCAGATTTCAATAGAAGACAGAGTTCCAGTGGCCTGCAGACATTTGGGGTTGTTGTTGAGAAGAGGTGTCCCCTTTTGTAGTTCCCCTACTCTCCTTGCCTTTCAGGAGGAGGACACATTCAGAAGATATTAGCAAACAAGAGCTTGATCTGTGTGTCCTCCCACAGTGTTGGTGCTCCTGCCACACACAGCCATGCAAAGAAAGAGTAAAGCTGGGCAACAGGCATGTTGCTTGCAGGGAAACGTGGGCAAGCACATGCACACATCAGACTATAAGCAGCCTTTTGAAGCCCTGAAAACAACATAATTTCTTTTCCTTGCACTGAAATTACGCACACAGGATGGGAGAGAGTTTCTTATCACTGCACAGGGCTCCCATGCTGCCAGTGTCACAAGTGATTCAGGTAGGTGGCCACTGCAGGAGGGCTCAACTACACCAAATGGAATTAAAGTTTTGCTTTTAAATGTGATTCACTCCTTATTTCCAGGCGGTAAAAAAAAAAAGCAACAAAAAGTAGTAGTAAGGAAAATATTCTTACCACCTAACAGAGCTGGTCTTAGAAAAGAGAGTAAAAGGCAACTTTCATGCTAGAAAAACTCTGACTTTCAATATTAGAGCCATAAAAAAAACTCAGAAAATACCTGAAGTCTTGGGAAAACCAGTGTGCAACCCACCAGGATATTCTGATACAGACCAAACCTGATGTAAAATCACAAAATATCAGGTCTAAGCACAGAGCAGAGTGAAAGTATTTCCTTTCTATGCAGCCAGTGTTGCCTCTTATCACAGCCGCAGAGGAAGAAGCCTTTCAACTAAACACACTAATCGGGACCAGAAAAGGCCACTAGAATTTTTCCTTCTCAGCAAAAGCAGCAACGATAAACAACACAATTTCACGCTTCCCTACAAAGAAGAAAGATGGTCTGCAGCATGATGAACAAGCAATGAATGCTGTAAAGAGGGAGATCATTAACAAAAATGTGTCATTGGACAATGTGACATCTGGGTGTGAGTTTCAGGTTTTCTGTACTTCAGTTAAATAAGGAGTTTTGATTTTGGTGACTGTAGTGTCCTTATTCCCTTGTTTCTCATTTTACCCCTGTTTATCATTTACAAGGCTGCCTTGAATTTTTTTCACCCTTTGAAGTTAAACTACAAAGTTTTAACAACTGATTATTATTCTGGTGCAAGATAAATTAACAATTCACAAAATAAATAAAGTTCCATAAACATTAGTAAATTACAGCTATACTTCAGCAAAAAACAAGTCTCAAGAACTACAGTGTCAGAAATTTGTTTCACTCTCAACTCTTAAATGTTTCTACATAGCACTATGTTGGGCCCACCTACAGCAGACATTTAGGCTGCCATCACAAGTGTCAGCTAATATGATTAACAACCAGCTTACTGCAGCCTCCACTGGATAACACAGAGAGGGGACAAAGAAGAAAGGGTGGCTAATCTAATAATTCACACAGAGCAGCAAAGGTGGCAGATAGATTGTTACCTCTCAAAGATGGGAAGTAATTACTTCTAAAACAAACCTGATTTTCAACATTAATTATCTTTTTTTTTAAGGCATATGTAATAGAAAAACAGTGGGGGCTTCTTAATTTTATTACAATGAATACACACACACACATTATCCGTGAAAGCTTAAACAAGATTTTATTATTTACTGTGCCTTACCTCCTTCAGACAAATTCGTAACAGCACTCTCACAGCTGCTCCTTTTCCATTTCCTTAAGACAGCTTACAGCATTACTCTTGCAGAGATCTAGTATTTCTGACTAATAATCTACTAAATGCATGCTCTACATATTTGCAAAGACCATACAATACATGAAATATTATAATTGTTAAGGTTCATGAGTTGGCTGTACATCTAATTCTTCTTCTACAATATCTTGGCAGTTTACTCTACAGTCCCAGATAAAAGTCTAATATTATTATTCCATGAGGACCTTCCTCTCCTGATGAAAAATTCAGCATAAAACAATCTTACAGCACGTAAAATGCAAAAAATTATCGTGATGTAGAGCAGTACCAGATTTTATAAGCCTAACATTTGATCAATTCCTGCATTTCACCAGGTATGGTAGATAGCAAGAATGAGGTTCTGAAAAAAAGCTATTAAAAGTCATAGCATCACAGAATCATTAAGGTTGGAAAAGACCTTCAAGATCATTGACTCCAACCATAGTCCAACTACCACAACCATTAAACTACATCCTGAAGCATCACATCTAAATGCTTCTTGAACACTTCCAGGGATGGTGACTCCACCACCTCCCTGGGCAGCCCATTCCAATGCCTCACCACTCTTTCAGTTAAAAACTTTTCCCTATTATCCAACCTAAACCTACTCTGGCACAACTTGACATCATTTCCTCTCGTCGTATTTCTAGTTACTTGGGAGAAGAGACCCAGACCAGCCTCTACAACCTCCCTTCAGGCAGTTGTAGAGAATGATAAGATCTCCCCTGAGCCTTCTCTTCTTCAGTCTAAAGAACCCCAGTTCCCGCAGCCTCTCCTTGTAGGACATGCCCTCCAAACCCCTCACCAGCCTCACTGCCCTTCTCTGGACATGCTCCAGGACCTCAATGTCTTTCTTATACTGTGGCGCCCAGAACTGAACACAGTTAAGTTATGGCCTCACCAGTTCTGAGTACAGGAGCATGATCACTTCCTTACTCCTGCTGGGCGTGCTATTTTTGATACACGCCAAGATGACTGCTGGCCTTCTTGGCCTCCTGGGCACACTGCTGGCTCATGTTCATAATGTTGTAATTTGTATTTTTAATGTTTGAAGAATTCAGGTTTAAAGACTGCCCAGATATGGCCTTCAGCTTAAACGCTCCTGAGCATGGCAGACTTATTTCACCTAAACCTGCTACCTGTATACTGTAATCATATGCAAGATCTGCACAAATTCCATCACATTGGCTGCTATTTACAACACCTGCTTTCAGGACACAAATCCAGCAGACTTTTTAAGAGCAGACTTGTAAAGAATAGCCAGATTCTCATGCTTTGCAGAATAAAGACAAGCAGCACTGCTAACCATTTGCATGCCTTTAAAACCCTCCTTCAGAGAATTCCATTGCTTCACCACTGCTTTCAGCCTTTTTAAGGTTGTTGTATTTAAAAGAAAACACTTGCCTCCTATTTACCACAAAGACCCTATGGTAACCATGATGCTCACCTGAAATCTCTTGACAAGAATGGAGATGAATGAAGGATGTTGGCTAGTTTTCCCCAAGAGGGCTAAGTGGAAGAGGAGTTGACATCATCTTTCACATTACCACTAGCTAGGTATGTCAAACTACTCACCCATGCTCATCTTAATAGGTAAATTTTCTCTGCTCGCAGCCTCCACAAGGTGTCTCCTAGCCTCCATCACAGCTTCCTTCTGCTTGAGGTTCATGAAGGACTCCCAGAGAGCTTTGGCAGCTGCATCACTAGAAGAAAATGACAGGGCTACTCTAAACATTGCTTGAATAATGGAGTAGGCTTAAGACAACATTTATATTTTAAGATGAGTGCCTCTCCTCTGAGGTGGGCAGGATAGAAGCAGAAAAAAAATACAGAAAAGCTCGACTTTTCTTAGTGGAACAATTGCTACAGTTTTATAGAAAAAAGTCTAACTTTTTTGCTACCAATTATAAAGGGTTAGAATTCGCATATTAATAAGCATTAATAAGAATGTCAGCCTCAAAGTAACCACTACTGTTCAACCATGGAAATATCAAAACCAGTCCAAACTTCTTCAGTTACCAAAAAGCTATGGAAAAGATGGGCTCTAACTTCTGCATGAGCATTTAAATCCCAAAGCCAGTACTTCCAAGGCTGCAGGCTGTTGGTATGGTTTAATGAACTTCTGTCCGTTTGGGTTTCATGGATTCTCCTTAGGTGAAAAGAATAACCCCTACCAGAATGGTATAACTGTCCTTACGGATTTCCTTTTTATTGTTGCTGTTGCTAAGCTTAAATTAGGAATTTGTGTGGCCCATCTGCACTTAGTTCCCTGTCATTCTCTGTCCTCCAGGACACTGTTTTGTTGCTGTTGTGAATGAATTTAGTGTTTTCTCAGTATGGGGGGAGGAGAAGGGAGAAAAAGTGGTCGCCTGGGGCTAAAGCCTCACATTGGGATTAATTTTGTTAAGATTTTTTAAATTATTATTTATTTTCTTTTTTAAAGAAAAAGCTTCCCTCTGGTTCTTCCTCAGGAGACATTTAACTCCTAAGTATGTTTTGATGTCATTTACAACATGCTTATAAACATGCCAAAACAAGCTTTGTTTCACAGAAAATAAAAGAGCCCAACAATTCATTTGATACCTATAACAGAGCAGCTGTGCTTAGGCTCTGCTGCAACGACAAGGTTGTAGTTAGCAAATCTTTGCTATCTCCCAAACCAGGTAAGAGGATCACCAAGCCCCACTCCTGTCATCCCAGGGACCCACATCCTCTGTCAAAGGACCGTGGGAAGAAGGTTGAATTACCCTTCTGAACAAACCACAAATTAATAGGAAGAGCAAATTTCATCCTATTGCCATGCCTTAAGAAACGGGGAAAAAAAATCAGATGACCTGACACAGTCTTTCCATTTCTCTTTCACAGTGTAACTTGACCTTCCTCTACCGATGGAGGCAGGAGGCAGCTATAGATAGCAGCTCCCTCTACTCCATTGCCAAGTGTGATCTGAGCACCGATGCAGTGCACTGCTTGTGGGCAGCAGCTTCACCAGGAAAAGCACATTGATTTATAACATATGATAGTGCAAGAAATAAGAAAGATCTTTCCAAAGCAACTAAATGGCAAACACAATCTCACTTAAGTAATGGATCCTTGAGTATGCTACCTTTAAAGACTATTTATTCAATTATTATGATTCAGTACTGCCCACTCAACAGCACTTTTAAATGCAGCCTGTTGATCCAGTTCACATCACATTCACAGGGTATGTCTCACTGTCATTTACAAGCATGCCTGAGGTTTGGATTGCAAGAGGCCAGCACTTTGCCTGTTAATTAATCCCTTCCTGAACATGCAGTTCCAAATACAAACCTATAGAGAGATAGGGAATTAGGCCTACACCAGCAGGAAGCTAGTTTTAAAAGTACTTTTTTTTTTTTTCTTCCTATGTGAAAGAAAAGTCAAGATTCTGTTTTCTAAGATTTTTAACCTGTTCTCATTTTCCCAATTCTGTTCATCACAAATATGATGGGAGAGTCTCACATAAACACAGACACCAGGAGCTAAGACTTTGAAACAAAGGGAAACAAACAATATAAGGAAGCTAATGCAAAAGTCTCCCAATTTTTGCAGAGGTTTTTGTAGTGTCATTGTTCTTACTCCTGCACTTCATATTTAGCAAATAATGAAGTATTGAAAATGAATCCCTAAAGCATCTATAGATGTAAGTAAAAGTCAGAATGTACATAATATGGTTGCACTGTTTTTCTATCTTATTTGCTGCTCCCCTTTTCCACACCATGTTTTGATCAGTTCTGTCAATTCAGACTGCAAGGTCTTTGAAAGTAACATATACTACACTGGTATAATTACTGCTGCAAGTCTGAGCTCCAGTTAATACTTCTAGTTGCTCCTAGATTAAACAATAAAACCCCTGCAAAATAACAGACTAATTATTGTTAACTTAAAAGAAACCTAATGCACTAAAACAAAATGGGGAGGAGAGGGAGGGAGCCTTGCTTTTTGCTTTGTAAACTCTTTCCTCCTACTGTAGACAGAGTAGTTTTTGTTTAATCCTAAATTCCTAAATTTGCATGATCCCTGAGAGTTGCTTTAGCACACCAAAAACAGCAAAAAGCAAAACAAATGTGGTATAGCTTAAAAGCAGATGGGGGCTAACCACACTCCTGTGTGCTTGGATCTCTGTGTAATCCACTGAGTTTCTGTAGACATTTTTCTTCCCACTGCTTTGCAGAATACATTGTGGTTTAGGTATCATATATAGAACAATACATAAACAAGATGAAATCAATATATATTAATAGCTCACATACATAGCCAATTGACTACGTCAGTCAACAAAAAGCAAGAGTTGCCATGTGAAGCCTTTTCTTTTTTAAAAAAATATAACAGGTAAAAGATAAACGAAAGTACATTTTCTGCTGAAAATGCTTTCTCTGCTTCCCCTCCACTACCCCTTCAGAGGAGGGCTTTTACTTTGAACAACTGCCTGCTCTCTAACTTCATCAATGAGAAGACAGGAAGAGCTGCTGGGAACCAGTCAGGAGGATGCAGAACAGGGCTCGTGTTGCCTCTTCCCTGATCTGAGAAGTTCCCGTAACATTTTCCTTTTAGAAATTTCTAACAACTGGAAATGAGATTATCTTATCCTCTCCTTTTTGTGAGACATCTGTCTGAGACTGCCTTCCAGGTGTTGTCATAGTGCCCTTCCCCTTCTTTTTTTTGCCATCTGCAGTTCCTCTGCTTCTGCCCTAACCCATAGACACTGGTGCTGCAATCAGTGATTTGTATGGGATCCACTACTCCAATTCTAACTTCTCCTTCCTCTTTGTGCCCCCCTGGCATCAGCTCACGACACTCTTGCATTCTTTGACTTCCCAAGGATTATTTAATGATTTTGCCTGTTATCTAGTGAACTGCTGCACTCTGAAAGTACTTTTCTGAAACTAAATAGATTAAAAAAATAATAATGTTATGTATTACAAAACCTTTGAAGATACTGTCTGAGTCATGCTGTTTTGCTTAAGAACAAATACATTATTTACAGTTACACTATAAATACTGATCAGGAACTCTAAACTGCCTTTCAAAACAAATGTCCCAACAGGTAAATATTATAGTGCACATTTCTGTGCATCTCTATTACAAAATGTTTTGCAGGGAACAGTAAGCCTGACAAAGAGGAGAGAGCACTAAAATTCTGGGATTTTTGCCATTAGCCAGTTTCATCAAAAAGCTTAGAGTTTTGCTCACAGGTTTTGATACCCTGCCCTACCCTTGTATCATTACGGTCATAGTAGCAAATCAACCAGCCATGTCAGAAAACAGAATATAATTTTTTTTTAAAGTGTAGCAGTTACCTGGTAGAAAAATTAGAAGTTTACTAAATCCAGACACCTAAAAAATGCAGCTTTCCTACTTCTGGTATTGGCACACCAGTTTTCAAAGCTCAATCATTAAGACAAAGAGGGAAAAGGACCAAATTGTCAGCACCATAGTCTGTACTAATCCTAAAATGAGACATCAGCTGGCAATAGTACCAGGAAAGAGGTGCTGCTGAGAAGCAGGCCAGAAAGACTGGGCTGTTCTATGCTGACCAAAGATAGCTGGACATGGTTCAAAGCAGCTCTAATTTGCAGCTTCCAGAGGCACCCTTTCTGTAAAGAAAGGTAGGACAGATGGAAATATAAAACTAAAAATCAAGGATAAAACAAGTTAGCTGGGAAGGGGCTAACTAGCTGGCTTCCCAAATGTACAGACTCAAAGGAAAGACCACTCAATGAAGTCTGCTGTTCAGTGGTAGCAAGATGCCCCGGTGGAAAGGCCAAAGCCTTAAGCAGAAGTAAGGGTGCAGCTTGGTAAGCAGTTCTTGTGGTGATGGTGTGCTATCTTCAGCAACACTCACTGCGGGGGAACTTTTTCTCATTCCCATGAGCACCCCTTTCAACTGTGGCAACACGTTCTGTGTGAGACTATGCATTGAATCAGACAGGAAAAAGTCAGTCATTTTTAAACACAGCTTATATGCCTGAACTAGTTTGCTTGATCTAGACAATTACATGTTGATAATCAAATGCCTAATCCTGAATCTGTTAAAATAATTGTAACTTATTCTCTTGATCTGGTCTGTTCCAGTCCACAAGGACAATACCCCCAAGGTTATCTGACAGGCAGAAAGTGCCCCTTTTTCTGACTGTCTGTAGGCTTAGTGGCAAAGCTACTAATTTTGAATGCATTTAGAGGAAGTTGGTGGCACTGGGATTTGCTGCTACCAAGCTGGAAGTAGTAGCCTGGAAATAGGTGAAATAAAGTACTAGTCAATGAAGAACAAACTCTCAGACTAGATGCAAACCTAAAGACAAAGAGAAATCTGGGGACACTTACTGCCCTGAGGGGACCAATGCACAACACCACAGTTTTAGACTTGGTTGAAATGATGATATGCCTCTTGCTTCACACCACCAGTACAGAACGATACTTACTTCCCTTACTGCATTAGGTCTTGTATATTATTTATAAATTATTAAAATATGGTCTTTCAGGTCACTAATGCAAGAACAAGAAGCCCATACTAGAAAATATGTCCATATGAGTCCAGGGCAGAGCCACAAAGATGATGAAGGGAATGGAACATCTCCTTTATGAGGAAAGGCTGAGGGAGTTGCGTCTTTTTAGCTTGGAGGAGACTGAGGGGCGACCTCATCAATGTTTACAAATATGTTAAGGGGGACAGAGCCAGGCT